CTGCTCCATAGATGGAGATCATTCTTTTCAGAAGTTCCTTGTGTGGTTTATCTTCTGATCGACCTCCCCTCTGATGAAACTTTATACAAGTGTTGTTTTTTTTTTAATGAAGCAAATAAGGGTTAATTATCCTTAATCCTATGTGCGTCCTTCCAATTTGCTATAGCAAAGGACCATCTCAAAGCAGATAATTGTGAGATTTGGGATCCTATGTTAGATTCATGCATGAAATGACCTCAATTATTTGCCTTTCCCTGCATCCATGCTCTTTGTATGTGACTTTGAAACTCACCCCAAAAGAGGAAGATCTTTTTTCCCCCACCATTGGATTCTGAGTTCATACATGTGACTATGAATGTTAGCCGACATGACATAACGGAAGTTTGAAGAAGTGCTTACTGGTTTGCGGTTCCTCTTTTGTACCAATGCCGTCATCATGAGATGTCTGTGCTACCCCCTCTGAGGATGAAAGACACATGGAGCACAGCCAAGTCTCCCAAGTCATTCCAGCTAAAACCAGCCCAGATCAGCCAGCATTCAGCCAACTCCCAGATATATAAGTCAACTCAGAGAGACTAGGAGAACCTCCGACATCAGCATAGACACCTGGTCTCAGTAAAAGCTGCTAAATAGATGTTAAACCCCAAGATTTGAAGTTGCTTGTTACACAGCATTTTTGTGGCAAGATTGGCAAACACCAATCATTTACTCACCCTACTTCCAGGAAGAGCCCCCTATTTTCAGGTGGGGAATCCACCTGTCTCCTACTCTTAATCCATGTGATTTGGATAACACACACCTCCACTCTCCCACACCCCCCCCCAGCTGTTCCCCAGGGACTACAAGCAACCCATTCCATTGCCCTCACCATAACAATTTGTTCAGAGGTGGGTGCATGACTAGGCAAGCCAATCAGAGCAAAGCCTGGGATCTTTGGTTATAGAGATGGAAGGGCCAAAGAGATCAATGATACCCAACCTTCCATTCTACAGGAGAGACTACTAAAGCTACGGGCTCAAGGACCACCAACTGGGTAGAAGCAGCGCTGGATCTAGGACACAGGTCTCTTGATTTCCATTTGGTTAAATTTTCTATTTCCCAGTACCTCTTCAGAAAAGATGACAACATTCCCTTCAAATGCTATGCCCAACTTTATTCAACAACTTATTAATAAAATCCATATTGAGTGTCTAGTATGTGCTGTGGGTACCATGCAAGGTGCTGGGGAAGCTTGAAATGAAGATCTGGGGAACAAAAAAAGATCTAGCTGGCTTAGCATCAGAGGGACATATTTTCAAACTAGCAGAAGTTTATTGAATCTTACACAATGGCATTTTCTGCCAAGCAAAGAATCTCCTCCATGCCCTATGGGTTCCCAAAGAAGCTCATCAAAACTCCAGTGCTCACTGTGTGCTTTTAAAAAGAGGCCAAACTCAGGAGCTGGCGGGATTTGATTTTTATTAAAAAAAAAAATCCCCTCCTGATCCTCCACCTGTTCTGCACCCTCCCGCTCACCAGCAAACTGATAACCCAAATCAGAACACTGAAAAACGCTGAATTTCATGAAGTAATGTTTTAAGGTTGCCTTTAGGTGGGTCCTGATCCAAGATGTGTGCACTCCAACAGAACTGCCACCCAAATTAGACACTGTCTCCAGCCTTGTGCCTTCTGTAGCATCAATTGGGTGAACATTTATCACTGAGCTACATAAATTTTCTTAGAAAAAAGAAAGAACTAGATTTGCTGAGTACCTACTATGTATGAGACGCTCTTAACCATTTCACTAACACTGTCTCACTCAAACCATCTTAAACCTAGGTGACAAGGCAAAACCATCTCTTCTGTGTGACAATAGGAGTTAAGGCCCAGAGATGCTGAATAATTTGGCTGCCAAATTTCTCTGCCACAGCTGATAAGTGTCAGGGTGGGACACCGAATCTAAGACTGTCACCTCCAATGTTCCTACTTTCCAGCTATGGCTCCAGCTCAAACCCCAACTAAGAAAATAGATATATTTCAGCAAACAGCAAAAATACTCATGTTGGAAGAATGCTGACATGTGAAATTGGTGTTCTAGGACAAATCATGTCTAGGGATTGGGTCTTGGAAATGGTAGGTCCAAACTTTAGTGTATAGAGAATTATCCAAGGCAGGAGAGTCAAAAAATGGAAAATGAAATTTAAAAAATGAAAAACTAAAAAATGTTGAGGCCCCACGTCCAGTGGTCCCTGTTTTTCTGCAGTATGTGGGCCCAGGATTTTCATTTGTAACAAGCATGTCCAGTGACTCTGAGTCCAGTCTGTAAGCCATTCTTTGAAGACTGGGTCCTGGTCCCAGGTCTGATACAATTTTCCTGTATGACTTTGGGCAACCTCATTCATCTCAGGGGACTCGGTTTCCTCATCCAGAAGAGCAGAAGGGTTGAATAAAGTGTATTTTCTTCACTGTCATCATTAAAGTATGTTACTTATATTGTCTCCTAAGGTTACTCCCCCAAACACGACAGAACGTGGATTTTCATGGCCACTGTTTTGGGAATGGTAGAAATGGGTGTTCAGAGCACGTGAGTGGCTTGTACAAGAGCACACGGTCTGCCTCTAATCTGAGTCAGAGTGATTATATCACAGTCTTGTGCTGGCAGTTTCCCCCAAGTTCAGTGCTCCAGAGTAGCACTGGACTAAGCGATATGTCACGTTCAAAGATTCATTTTTGCAAAATGACCAGATTTCAAAAGACATGGTTAGAAGAGTCCACTGGGCTCGAGGTAGTGATGCTCTCCTGGGAGGGTTTCCAATAATTATGGGGGGAGTTCCCAGGGCTGGGCATGGGTAGAGCAACAGCAGTGACCACTAGGGGGCACCGTGCATGGGAAACCTCAGAGAAAAATGAATAGTGCCCCCCAGGGTGTGATGTTTGCCATTTCCCACTCTGGCAGACATGGTTCACCTCCCAAGGGAGTTATAGTCAATGCGGATGGAAACAGGAAACCTTCATCTTCAGAGACCTTGCCATTTCTCCTTGGCAGCTACCCCTTCCTTCTCCAACCTCCCCAGGTGGCATCCACCCCCCACCTACTCCTCCACTCCTGCCCTATGTTCCCAGAGCGGGTTCCTAGCAACATTCGTGTCCCTGGATATTAAGATGTGAACTGGTTTTCCTGAAGAGAAAAGAGATCAGACATCAAAAGTGTTTGGGAAATGATGTGTTAGAGTTTGACCTTTTTGTTAGCACAAGATTTTCCAGAGCCTTTCATTGGTTCACCTGATAATAGTCCTAAAGATACCAGTAATAGCCTTCATGTGGTTATCACTTTCCGAATGCTAGGCACTGTGACATGCATTGTACACGTTACTTCATCTTCACAGCAACCTAGGCAGGAGGCGACACTATTGTCCCCATTTTGTAGATCAGAAAACGGGCTCAGAGGGGTCGGCTGACTTGCTGAGGGTCACAAGAGTACCCAACAAGGAGACGGTAATTGGAACCCAGGTGTGCTGAGGCTAAGCCTGCCGCAGCCTGCATGTGTCCCCCTTTCAAGAAGGTGGCAGGGTGTGGGAGGCAGGGGCTGTCCAAATGTCCCAACCTTGTTTTCATGCCTCATGTAGACTCCAGCTCTGGAGGTTGAGTAGAGAACACTAGAGAAAGATCAGCGACCCCAGAGGAACTTGGGTCTGGCCATCCCTGGGACCCCTCTGCTCCTCCCCAGACAAGGCCAGATAAATAAAGATGCATTTAACAGGACCGGTGAAATTAGCCCAGTTTGGGTAGAAAAACAGCTTCCAAGCCCTTGCTTTTGACCTGTCCCGAAATATTTTCTAAATGCATCAGACAACAACAAGCTGATATAAGGACAGGGGTTCTGACTGCCTCCAAATGCTGTCACGGGCATCATAATGGCTTTGTTTTTCACAGAGGAGAGAAAAAAAAGTTTATGTCTCAAATTAGTAGGTCTGTCATGTTCCAAATTGTTTGCATTTCTAAAAATGGATGTTGACATGTGAACAGTTATTATCTAATGCAAGACCCAAAAATCTGCCTCTTTCAAGGCAACAACGGGGTAGTCAAGGGATCCTCTGCAGACACGTGGGTCTACATCTCTCTCTCTGGATGCGGGAGTACAGTGAGTCCCCCTTCCCTCCCATGCTCCCCTCAGAGCTCAGGTTGTTTCTGAGCCTCTGGGACCTGGTCATGCCCTCTTCAGAAACCTCAACCCCCAGAAAGATCCCTAGAGACCTAATCAGAGGGTATCAGCTTCCCAGCAAGATTTCCCTAGTGCAGTGGTCTTCAGAGTGTGGTCCCCAGACCAGCAGCATTGCGATGGAACCTGTTAGCATTGCAACCCCTCAGGTGCCCACCCAATGCACGGGGAATCAGAAGCTCTGGGATGGGACCCAAAATCTGGGTTTTAACAACCCTCCAGGGAAGGCTGACGCTGCCCAAGTAGCTGAAATATAAGAACCACTGAGGGCACACTGTCCCCTCCTCCCCGCTCACAGGCACTCACTCACTACCTTCTACCGTCTCTTTCTTACTCGTCCTTTCACCTCATTGTCTTCTCTCCATCTTCTACCCACCATAGCTCAGGTCACGGCCCACCTGCGTGACAACAGGAGCCTCCCAGTGGGCGGCCCCACCTCCAGGCGGCCCGTCCACCTCCAATCCTGTCTCCATTTGGAAATCAACTTTCGAGAATGTAGAAATGGTCCTCCCAGTATACTGCCTAGAGCCCTGTGAGACCTTCTAATTTCCCCAGTTCAAGGTCACAAAAGAGTTCTGCCACCATGGCCTTGGGTCAGCAGCGTTCTCCCTACCACCATATCCAATAGAGCAAACGGGGTGAAAGCAGAAGAGAACCGAGTTTCCCGTCTGTTCTGGAAAGAGCTGCTCCCATCACAACACCCCAGTGGGAAATAACCTAGGCCTCGAGTCAGACAGACATGTGTCCAAACTGCACCCCAGCTGGACATTAGCAAGACACCCTCGCCCAGACACCCAAGTTCTCATCTCTAAAAGGGGAAGGGGGCGGCCTGCACAGCTGAGTCACTGGAGAATTTAGTGACAACATGATATAAAGGTCCAGCACTCTGTCTGGCACACAGTAGGGAGTGAAGAGTTTCTAGCTACCTCCTGGTCCAGTCAACCAGCTGGTTAATTCACAGACTACCTGACCAGACTCCTTAGCATCTGATGCTCACCATACCGCCTGGGGAAAGCCAAAAATAGCGTCAAGGCTAATCGTTCACGAGACCCTGAGCCAATAACCCGACTCTGTTTCTCTCTCCCTCAGAAGCTGTGTTTTCTCTTCTGCATCCATTTACCTTGGGGCTGTTCTGTTTGTACCACTTTCTGAGAAAAACCAACATTTCCTGGATGTCTTACCTGGGATGGTGTCTGATAGTGACATATTCCTTCAGGCAGTGAATATTGAGAAGTGAGGGGTAGCACATTCTTCAACAACAACCCAGAGCACAGATATGCCACACACACACACACACACACACACACAAACACCTACACGCTGGAACTTGGACGGACTTGCAGGGCCACCCAACGGGGACACGTGTGGCACCGCGTCACACACAGACACCAGGACTCTTTGTGCCTCCACTGATCGGTGTCAAATCTGACAACACCTGGACAAAAGAGCTGGAAAAAGCCATACAGTACCTTTTGGTGACTTAAGTGTCGCCACTGCCCAGTCACCATCAGAACTTCCTAAAAAAATAACAATGGAGAGATGCTGATCTGCTGGCCGGCTTCCCATGTCCGCTGCGTCCTCACCCCCAGGTGCTGCTGCTGGCAGCCCCAGCTGCAGCCTCCACGGGGCGGGCAGGCCTCAGGGGCCCTGGGCGATGGGCGAGAGACCAAATGTGCAAATGTGATTCTGCACGCCCGCGTGCACCTCCTTCTGCAAAGCCATGCAGCGGTATCAGGATAACGCCCAACAGAGGGTCAGAAGAAGTCCCCTGAAAAAGGCCTAGATGTTTTCAGTTATATTAGGGAGAGAGAGAGATTTCTTAGGCAGTGAATCTGGCTCTGAATTTCAACCCTCTAAGAAAGGAAAACTTGAGTTGCATGAGGTCACTTTGGCCAATGACAACACTCTGTTGACAAGAGATACATTTTGATCCTGTTTTAGTGCAATCCCTCTCCTGAAAAGGGTTGGTTGGAGGGAGCACTGTTAGCCCCAAATGCAAGGTTCGGGCCAGGCTCTGCGAACTGCAACTTTATATGCTGGGTGGCAGGTCCCCAAGGGATAGGGGCTGAAATACTGTTGAATGAATGAATGCATTCAAGTTTCTCCATGGAGTCACTTTTCCTAAGGGTGGGAAAATCCCCTAAATGCTAAAGGGATCAAGTTTGTTATCTGAGAATCCCATAATGCTTGGCATATTGTTTATAAATCAGTTTCTCCAAGTTGAATTTCATTTCAGGTGTACTGAATGAGCCCTGGGGGATCACACATTATTAGCAGATCCCCCTGGTGGTCCTTTCCATAAAGTCAAAGATGGCAAGAAGGACAATGTCTGCACCCTACCTACCACTGTCTTTGATAGGCCTTCTCCGTAAGATTGGGTTTTACTCAAAGCAGGGCAAACCCACCCACGTGTCCGTGCAGTAGCCTCTGCCCATTGGCTGGAGGCCTAGCCAATCAGCGCACGCCACTAGCTCCCTTTTCCTTTCTTAGGAATCTACCTGGAAAGCCCAAGTCCTCAGCATTTCTGCACAATTTCCAGAGATAGATCAGGCTGCCAGCTGAGAGGAGTGACAGGGAACATTCTGTGTGATCTGAATGATTACAGAGCACAGATCCGGCCTCATTTAAACATTTCTGGTTGGCCTCCCAGGCGTGCCAGAGGACGCTCAAATTGCCACATTCCCCCTGCGGATATGAACTCAACACCCTCATCACTCACAACAGAGGGGAAATGACGGGACAGGAGAGTGACAAAGTTAAAATTAAGTGAGACCCGCCTGGGATGACTGGAGGTTTCTTCTCCCTCTGAGCCAGGGTCATTGAGATCTGGAAATAGTGATGTGGCCCCAAATCTTCTGTTGCGGGTGGATGCAAGCCTGGTTCAGTCACTGAGTCATTGACACCAACGAGGCCATCTTACTCCCAAGTCAAGTTCATCACCTGAAGGCAGGAACCATGCCCAGGCCGTGGCCACCCCTGTCCCCACTACCTAAGACGGGGCTTAGCTCTGACAAGGCGCTAACTAGTTTTCTTTCATAAATCCACTGAAAATAAGGACACTTAGTCAGATGGCACACAGGCTTCCAAATATATACTGAAGGTCCCACTACATGCTTGGTGCCCCTAGTGGACATTAGATAAAAATTTGTTGGGTGAAAAATCAAACACTTAGTAAAAGGGGATGGATCTAAGGCACTGAGAGGAAAGGGACATGAGGGAACTTTCTGGGTGATGAAATATTTCTTATCCTTACTGGGATGTCGGTTATCCTAGAGTATGTATATTTCAACAATCACATTATTGTAAAATCATGATCTGCATTATTTCAGCACATGTAAGTTATATTTTATCTATAGTAAACCAATTATACTCAGCACCATGGGAAAACTTTCAACTTCAAACAAAGAAAAACAGTATTTTAGTAAGTTCTCCCTCCAAAAAAGGGGGAATGGTACTCCCAAACCTTTTTTTTTTTTTTTTTTGACCTGGTTACAACCACCTGATGCCAGAAATTGCTCTCTGGAAGATAGAATTATTTCACTGAAAGAACACAGGATTCTGAATCAGATAATCCTGAATATGACTCTTGGCTCTACCATTTACCAGAAGTGTGACTCTGGGAAAACTGCTTAACTACACTGAGCCTTAGTTTCACCACCTGCAAGAATGGGACCAAGACCTCCCTCAAAGTTAAACTAGTAGAAGTCAATCCATGGCTGAGGCGCTCATGCATCACTTAGGGTTTTCACACGTGATTCCTACAGCAAGATGGAAGAGGGAGTTCCTGCCATGTTGAAGTGCGTTATTGCTGTGGTTTTAAACAGGGCCTTTGGAAAAGGTAACATGGTTCTGGCAAAATAGTCCCTTGTCTGTCAAATAGCAACAGAAAAAGTATTTTCTCATTAAAATTTTAATGTAAAAACGAAGGCATTGTGGCATTTTATTGATAATGCTGGTAGGCCCTGTCTCTTTCTCTCATTGAGTAGCTGGGGTTGTACTGAGGCATCTAAAGGGCACATGGTCAGGAGTTTAACTTTTAGATGCATAGAGAAAAAAACTGGACATGGGGCCAATAGGAGATAAATGCCAACGTGTGGGCGATTTTCTGTTTGCAAGGGCTTTTTCCAGCTCTGGAGGCAGGAGCCACCCCTCTCTAAGCCATCAGGTAAGCCTTAAGGATATTTCCCCAAACACCTCTGTCTTGTCAACATTGACCTATGAAGAACCATAAAATGGGTTCTCACACCATAACTACCTACCACACGGGTGGCTCCAGCCAGGGAACTCATAGGCTTAATTAAGTTTTCAGGTTACATTTCAACTCAGTCTATCACAAGACACACTTCTTGTCTTCAATTTTAGTGGACGATATGTCTAAAATGTTTAAATCCTCATTTCTGACTTAGGAAGGAGAGTCAGTTGGATGAAACTGAAGCTTTTTGTGATAGACTGTAGTAGCCATATGTCTGGGCATGGAACTTCATTGTTCAGGCTATAGATGGGGCAGTGAAGAGGTCTGGCTGACTGCGGGTCCTTAGGACAACTCAGAAGAGTCCTTTGCTGTTTGCTTGCTTGCTTGTTTGTTTTATCAGATCCTCAGTGTGAGTTAGCTTCCTTGTATGTCTTTCCCATTAAACTGGGATAAACTCTCCCCCCCTCAAAATGACAGCTGAGCAATTGCATGTTAATCAAGGTACTGGTCTGCCTTGGAGATTCAAGGAAAAATATGGCCAACAAACAACTCTGGTCTGGAGACTTAAGTATGTGGCAGTATTTACTGAGGATTGACTGTGTGTCAGGCTAAGCACATTCTGTGCACCACATCATTAAATATTCCCAACAGACGATTAGCTGTCTATTTTTATTATCTTCATTTTACAGAGGGAGAAACGGAGACCTGAGGATGTTAAGTAATCTCTGAAATTATTTGATAAATGTCTGAGCGATGTCTTAAACTCGGAGGCCATGCTACATTCTGCCATCTTGCTGATCATCTCATGCTCCTGACTTGATGTGGTGCCCAACACACACTATTATTCACTGATTTTACAAATACATATTGGGGGGGGCACCTGGGTGGCTCAGTCGTTAAGCGTCTGCCTTCAGCTCAGGTCATGATCCCAGGGTCCTGGGATCAAGCCCCGCATCGGGCTCTCTGCTCAGCGGGAAGCCTGCTTCTCCCTCACCCACTCCCCCTGCTTGTGTTCCCTCTCTCACTGTCTGTCAGATAAATAAAACCTTTAAAAAAAATTTTTTTTAAATTTAAAAAAACAAACAAACAAACAAAATACATATTGGGAGCACTCATCAAGTCCCCCAACATGGTAGGAGGTTCTGGGGATGCATTGATGAATGGGACAGATGTGGTTCATGCCTCAACGGGACCTACAATCAAGGGAGAGCAGATTAAGTGTCTAAAGAATGAGTGAGTGAATGAATGAATGAAACACACTTCCTTGTACAGAGTCTGATGAGGTTTAGCTTCTGACATTTCCTTAGTGTGTGCTAATCTTTTACTGATAATTGGGCAGTGAACCCCTTGGGAACAGAGGCCATTCTGCAGTCACATGCTGTATCCCTGAACTGTAGAGAGAAAAGAGTTCTCTTTAAACATGAATGTGATTTCAATAAGCAACTAAAATAAAATAAAATAAACCAACAGTCACATCCTTTTCTCTCTGGGTTGGCAATGAATGGATGGGACATATTTAATGGCCCCCACAGGTATTCTAATAACTAGAATGAGTGGTATTGTTTCATTTTCTATTTTAAAATTTCCTCACTTTTCATTCCTCATTTTTCACTTGAAGAAGTTGAGGTCAGAGAGTCTCAGTGACTGGCTCAAACTACCCAATGTTCTGGATATTAAAGCCGCCAAGAGAAATTTATTTTCCAGGGGTATTTTTGAACTTGGCAGTTAACCCTAAAGGCTGTCCAAGGCTCTCCTTATTTACTAGAAATTTTTAGAAAATAAGTCTGGTTATCAGAGGCTGCAGAGCTTCCAACAGCAAACAATTTTTTAAACAATTTCTCTCCCTGGTGGTAATGATTTCACTAATGAAATGCACTTCATCATCCACCACACATCATGGTGTGAATTATGCCTTAATAAAGAACCCTTCAAAGAACATTTATTATGGGATTTGCATTTCATTTGTGCAGGCAGATGCTGGACACCTGGGTAAGCCATTGGGTCAGGCAGTCCCACTGGATCTCCATTCACTAGGAGTCACAAGACCATCAGTGACTCAGATAAAGTTTGTGAACTCAGAGAAGAAGAGGGGCACATCAGCCATATCCAGGATTGTGGGGGGTTCTCTAAATAAGATCCTTCAGAGTTTTCTAGAAGATTAGGGGTGCTTCCTTACAACTAAGCTATTCTTTGATTCATGCCAAAGACAAGCTCATTCATTCATTCAGCAACCATTTCAGAAGTTCTCGCTTTGTGGAAGAAACAGTTACTCAAGGAGGGTAAGATATATTTTCGTGCTGCAAATTTAATTCTCAATGCCCTGCAGACATTTGCCATGCACGGGATCCCTGTATAAATCCTGGAGAAAATCAAGGAGCATTGTGGGAATATCTATCCCGTTATTTACCCAAATAGCTACTGAGTTTTGAGGGGGGACAAGACACTGGGCCTAAGCTGAAGAAATGAATTGTTTAGGGTAATGTAACCAGTTCAAAAGGAAAAAGATGTCTGGGTTGATTTTTTTTTAATGCCAAAAGAAGAATCAAATAGAACCAGCAGACGCCATTTATCACCTAAATGCAAAGCTCAGGAAGGGGGCGGGGGGGGGGGCACCAAACAGTGTATGAACACTTTGCAGCTACATCGGTGCAGACGCCCTGACTCTCTCTCTCCTAGGCAACAGCCCTCAGCTCTTCCTACTAATATTTGAGTCTATTTGAACACGCTTAGGATGCATATGCTGTGCAAATATGCAGTAGGGAACAGAGGGAGCCTGTGGTCATGGGGTATACGTGAGGGCTGAGCTGGGCGTAGAAATTCAACACGAAACGTGGGAACTGGTACGTAAGTCCTTGCGGGGCTTAGGATTTAGAAAAGCCTGTGTGCCCTCGTATTAGAAATTTGGTCTGCCTGTCTTTGAGTGACTCCATCTGGAAGTCCTAGGCGATGGGGAAGAAATAGGAATTCCTAAAGATCCTTGTGGTTCCAATGCTTACCAAGTTCCCACTATACGCATGGCCCTCTGCCGAGCATCAAGATGCCTGTTTTGTGCCTCTATATGTTGGGAGACCAGGGTCCCCACAAGCATCACAGACAGGTGACAGTGTCTGGGCTTTGGTTTCTGGTGTCAGTGTGTAATGGAATTAGGATATTTGACACTGGAATTGATCAGCAAGTGTCTCCCATCCCATCTCTGACGAGGGAAGACATGAAGACAAGCAGCTGATAACAAAAGCAAGCATGCGGCCTGTGAGTCTTGCGTCTGCCCCAAGTTTGACTTCGCGATGGCTGTGGCTTCCACCCTGTAGGACTCTTGCATGAGCGATGTGTTCAGGAGCCTGGGCGACCATCAGGGTCACTGTCACCCTCCCTCGTGTGTGAGCTAGGCTGTGAGAGGCAGGCTCTGGAGTGATAAAAACCTACAGGCGGCTTGATTTGGGGCAAATGAAATTAGACCCCCTTGACTCTCGGTCTCCTAATCTGAAAACTGGGATAATAATTGTGTCTTCCTCTTTGGATCCCTGTGAGAAAGCAAGGCAGGATGTATGAAAAGGTCCAATGCAATGTCTGGCACTTTGATAAGAGCCCAGTTAGCACAAGCTCCAGGCAGCATGCCCGATCCTGAAGAGCGGAAGTTGCCTGAGATGGGGGCGTGCACTTACCGACTTCTCAGAGATGGGATGACTACGGGGGTGATGGATGTTACCCACTACAGGGCAAGGTATTCGGACACCGGGTGTCCTGGATTCCCTGAGGATTCACAAGGGCAGATGGTGGACGACCAAGGGGCTGGGCTATCAGTGGGATCCAAATGAGCCTCCAGGCCCTTCTCCCCGGGAAACAGCCCCCACATGTGTCCCTCACTCACCCACCCTGCCCCACGTGGCAAGGTAGGACTCGATCCAGTCAGAGAAGCAGCAGCCCAGGGGCTCTGCTTCCCAGCAACCTGGGCCCCAGGTAGAGAGACCAAGAATATGTGTGAGGCAGACGGACAGAGAGAGAGAGAGAGAGAGAGGAAAGAGACCAAGAGAGAAAGAGACAGAGAGAGACGCAGATTCTGAGAAAGAAGAAGAAGCAAAAGAAAAGGAGAAGTAGGAAGAAAAAGCAAGAGGACTAGAAAAAAACAAAGGGAACGAGAAAAAAGTGCAGAAAAGTAGAGGAGAAACAGAACAGCACTCACCGACTGCCTTCAAGGAGGCGTACTTGTTGAGCTCTTTGCCCGGCAGCTGCTGTTCGTAGGGGTTGGAGATCTGGCCCAGGCTAGGGTACGAATGTGGATGGCCCATCTGCTGGAGCAAAGGGGAGGTGGGCACTGCGTTGTTCATCTGGGTCGTGTCTGCAAGGGAGGAGATAGCGGGACATGGTCACAGGTGGAGCAGGACCTTCTACCCATGCCCACCATCGCTGGGTCCCGATCTGCCCACCCTCCGGGGACACGAGAGGAGAGCAATAGACACATCAGAACAAGCGGCTCCAGGATCCTCCCTGGAAAGCAGCTGAAGTCGGATGGGTAATATATATATATGTATATATAATAGATGATTAACTTCAATCATAGTCATGGAAATGCAAGTCAGAACAACAAGGAGAAGCCATTCCTTTGCCAAGAGATGGGCAAACATTACAAGTATGGAAAGGACACCATACTGGCAAAGATGTGGGAAACTGGCCAGTCTCATAACCTCACATGGGAGCCCAATTTGCCATATTTGCAGAAAGGAATGTGGCAGTGTGTCTGGAAACATAAAGTGAAGGTATACTTTGACCAAATAATACAACTTCTGGGGATTAAGCCTACAGAAATAGCATCAGAATTCATGGATGTTTGTTCAGAGATGTTCTTTGCACCGTTGTCTGTAAAGTGACAAAAATGCACATGCACAGAAACAACCTGAATTCCTACAAAGATGGTAATTCTTAAATAAATTATTGTACATCCATATTACACAATGTGTACATATCATGGAGCTGTTAGGAAAAAATGTGTTTAAAAATGAATTAACCCTAGGGGTGCTTGGGTGGCTCAGTCAGTTGAGCTGCCGACTCTTGATTTCAGCTCAGGTCATGGTCTCAGGGTCTTGGGATTGAGCCCCACCTCAGGCTCCATGCTCAGCAGGGAGTCTGCTTCTCTCTCTCTCCCTCTCCTCCTCCTCTCTCTCTCTCTTTGTCTCAAATAAATAAATAAATATATTTTTTTAAATGAGTTAACTCTATACATGTCAACCTGGATAGTTTCTTTTGGGTTATATTGTTAAGGGAGAAAAAGCAAATGTGAAAGTAATGCATATAATATAGCATCTTTGTTAAAGAAAAGAAAATCTATGCATGTTGCTTGAGTGGTGCAATTTGCAAAGACAGGAAAAAAATATGCAAAGACACACGAACCAAGTATTGGCTACTTAGAGGGAATGGGGTTCATGGGGAGAGAGGTTCAAGAAGTCTGCTTGGAGGGAATATTATCTGAGCTGAGATCCAGAAGTCTAGATGCGGTTATGTGTGGGTGAAGGTGGAGGGCGCTGGGGAGGGTGTTCAGGGCAGAGGGAAGGGCATGGCCAGAAGCCCTGAAATTGGAGGGGAGGCAGTGTTTTCAGCAATGCAGGATGCCGCACCCTTCCCTTGAGGCACACGTGGCTGCAGAACAGAGTGTGAGCGAAGTGGAAGGGGGTGGGGCTGGACAGGCCGGCGGGGCTCAGGAGGCCTTGTGAAGGCTTTCCCCTTCACCCTGAGAGCAGTGGGATGGAGAGAGTGAAGGGAAGAGTGAGACGAGGTGGAGTCCAGATGAGGTGATTATGGTTCAGCTTCAGGCAGGAAATACAGGTTCTCCCCAGCTTCAGGAAGTGCATGTACAGATCCAGATGCTTGTGCTGCCTTGGAAGATCGCCTTTCCCTGGCATGTGTGCCCATTTCCCGGCTGCTGTTTTGGCTGCACACAGCTCACAGGTGCCCCTCACACCCAGGAAGTTATTCTCAGGAACCACTGCCCTGGGTTTAGTGTGCTTCGTGCACCTCACCCTCAACACTGGTGGTGGTCGGCAACCAGAGCCTCGCTGACACTAGGACATGCAGACCAGCCCTCTGCCTCAAAGTAGGGACAGCTTTATGAAGCAATGGATGCTCCAGAGCTCCCAGGGATCGGAACAAGCAACCTTCTTTCCTAAAGGGCCAGACTATATATAGTTCAGTCTTTATGGGCCACGCAGACTTGTTACAAATACTCAACTCTGCCCTTGTAGCAAGAAAGCACAGACATGATGTCAATGAATGGGTGTGGCTGTGTACCAATAAAACTTTATTTATAAAAACAGGTGGCTGCTAGATTTGGTCCAAGGGCCATAATTTAACTACCCCTGGTCCAGACTTTATCTGAGACTGAGACCCCATCTTTGAGTGTCTCCTTTATCTTTCCTATTTTGTTACCCTCACAACCTGAGAGGGGCGTGTGCATGCGTCTGTCTGTGTGTCTGTAGCACTCCCTCAGAGTCTCATACACCTGAACCCATCTCTCAAGGGCTGCTTCTAGACAATTCAACCCATGACATATACGGAATATGTTTGGCTTTAGAAACCAATACACCCAAATGGGAAGAGGCAGGGAGACCACAGCTGAGACACAGAGATAAGAAGAGCACTTTTTAGGGGTGCCTGGGTGGCTCAGTCGG